GAATATAACCAATGGAAAAAAAGGAATGAAACTAATGGGGAAAAAGGAATGGAACCAGTGGGAAAAAGGAGTGTAACCAATGGAACTGTGTTAAATCTTAGTGTCTTCTGTACACTGTGCTGCTCTGGATGGGGTTTATTTAGGTTTTTCTTTCTGTATTAAACCCAAGTATCTTCTCAGTGTTTCCTCCCTCCTGGAGASCTCTGTCCCTCACCCACAGGTGTCTCCAGGCTGAATTCCAAAGCTTTCTGAGGAGCAGCCAGAGCTGCTGGAAGGAGCTGGGTCCAGRGAAGAGATTTTTTCTGATGCCTTCAGAGTGAAGAACCAACAGTCCATCAGCTGATGGAAAAAWGCTCTTWTATCCCATTTTTWAAAATCATAGATAGTGAGGTGTTAYAGTTTCTGAGMGCAGATAAACTCAAATGAGGTGGGAAAATGATCAAGAGGGAGATCCCAGGTGCAAAACAACCAAGGAACAGACTCCACACCCATCAGCCAGCCCCTGATGAATATTTTCCTCCTTAAAAATGGATATTTTCTATGTTTTAAGGCAATAAAATAGGCCTGACACTGGGATATGCTCAGTCCCTGGGTGTTTCACAGGCATTTTTCCTTTTTGCTAATTTTAAATGTTCTTAATGCTGCCAGTGAAATCCTTCATTTACCTTAATTAGACTTGCCTTGCRTTTAATTGGATTATTAGCATTAACATGGGCTAGAATTGATAAAACTGCAATTTAATTTGGGGGGGATTTGGATAAAAGGTGGGTTAATTGGAGCTTCTCATGCCTGCAAACAGCTTGTGGATTCCAGCGTTCTGGAATTTGTGGAGGTGATGGGGGGGATACAAAACCTCTTTCTCAACAGAGAGGTCTTGGAGCTGTGGGAGAGAGGGAATGGATCCAGTGGGAGTGGGAATAAAAAAAACATAAATAAGAAAACAAAACAACCTAAACCAAACAAGAAACAAAACAAAAACAAACAAAAAAACCAAAACAAAAGCAAAAAAAACCAAAAAACAAAACAAAAAAAACCCATGGATGGACCTACGGAGTTATGAGAATCTGTTCCCAGCCAAGTGCTCTGGGCTGGGCAGCTGTGGCTGCCCCTGGATCCCTGGAAATGCCCAAGGGTTGGACATTGGGGCTGGGAGCATCCTGACACTGTGGGAGGTGTCCCATGGCAGAGTTTGGATTTTAAGGTTCCTCCCAACTTGACCCATCCTATTCTCCTGTTTTCCAAAAGGAAAGGGGCAGTAGAAGGAGGGAGCTGAACTCCTGGCACTCCAATGCTGCCGAAATTCCTCAAGGAATGACTCATGGAGGAGAAGAAATATTGCAGGATTCCTCCTTCATTTCCAGCTCTGTGTTTGGTGTTAATGCACCAAATAAATTGGGAATTTCCATCAGCAGTGCACTGGGAGGGATGGGCAAGGCTGCTGAGGATGCTCTGCTGTGTCTGTGCCCTCTCCAGGATAATTCCTGGAGAACACCTGGATCATGGTGCTGCTGGAACCACTCCCCACTGGGGTGTGAGCAGGAGCCGGGAGAACCCCCGGGGATGAGTTTGGGAATG